ACATTACTCAGAAGGAAAAGGCACTCCCAGGACATAAGCCTATGAAAGACAGGCTGACATTAATGTTGTGTAGTAATACAAGTGGTGATTACAAGTGAAGCCTTTATTGGTGTATCACTGATACTCCCAGAGTGTTCAAGAAAAACAATATCATCAAGGGTAATTTGTGTGTGCTGTGGAGATCAGACAGTAAGGCATGGGTCACTAGGGAATTTTTCTTGGACTGGTTTTATGGTGTGTTTGGCCCCACTGTGAAAAATTACCTCCAGGAAAAGAAATTATCACTCAAGTGCCTCCTGGTAATGGACAGTGCTCCTGCTCATCCTCACAACTTGCAAGAAGAAATTGCAGGGGACTTTGGTTTTATTAAGGTGAAGTTTTTGCCTCATAATGCAACTCTTCTCCTCCAGCCCATGGACCAGCAGGTCATTTCAAACTTCAAAAAACTCTACACAAGAGCAGCGTTTCAAAAGTTCTTTGAAGTGACCTCAGACACTCAATTGACCCTAAGAAGAGTTTTGGAAAGATCACTTCAATATCCTCAGTTGTGTAAACTTTATAGATAAGGCTTGGGAGGGAGTGACTAAGAGGATCTTGAACTCTGCTTGGAGGAAACTGTGGCCAGAATGTGGAGAACAGAGGGATGTTGAAGGGTTTGGGGCTAGCCCTCAGGAGGCTATGCCAGTAGTGGAAGCTATTATGTCTTTGGGGAAGTCCTTGGGGTTGGGGGTTTGTGACGAGGATGTGGAAGAGTTGGTGCAGAATGACGAGGAAGAACTAACCACTGCAGACTTGCAAGAGCTTCAGGTGCAACAGCAACAGATCACATCTCAGGAATGTTCTTCAGAGCAGGATGAAGAGAGACGGAGGAAGATGACTTCGTCAAGGATTAGGGAAATGTGTTCAATGTTTACAAAGGTGCAAGCATTTATCAGTGAATTTTATCCTGTCACAGAAGTTGCAAGCTGCATTGGCAACATGTACAATGACACTCTTGTGTCCCATTTTAGGGAAATCCTAAGGGCACGTGAGAAACAGAGCTCTCTGGACAGATATTTTGTGCGACAGGGGTCCAGTGACTCTCAAGCTGGTCCTAGTTGCATTAAAAAACCAAGACGGGAGGTAACCCTACCAAAGGACTTGGTACCTGAAGTCTTTATGGAAGGGGATTCTCCTTTCAAGCAATAGACAATCCTGAATCTTCCCTGCTGCTGACACATCACTCATCAACAACTCCACAATAAAGGTAAGTGGCATTTAATTATTGTTTATTTTTCATGTCCCATTCGTTTTAATGTAAGGAAATGTATATTTCATACAATTTTTTTTTTTTCAGACTTTGGGGTGTCAGGAATGAATTAATTCTATTTCCATTATTTCTCATGGGGAAAATTAATTCGACTATCGGCAAGCTCTCTGGAATGGATTAATGCCATTGGTTGAGGGTCCACTGTAATTTTAGGAGACTTTAACTTGAGTCATATTGATTGGAATTTCTTGACTGGGAATTTAGAATCTAACGACTTTTTAGAAGTAGTTCAAGATTGTTTTTTGGAGCAGTTTGTGACAGAGCCTACAAGGGGAAATAACCTGCTTGACTTGGTTCTGGCAAACAAGGAAACCCTTGTTAATAATTTAGAAATTAAAGAGGAACTCGGCACAAGCGATCGCAAATCAATTACCTTTAGCTTAGAATGGAAGTATGACAGTAGGGATAATTCAGTAATGCCCCCAGATTTTCGCTTAGCAGATTACAATGGGCTAAGAGAACACTGGGGTAATGAAGAGAGCTATCAGTATGACAGCTTTCTTAACACAATACATCTTAACACAATAATCGGCTCAAATATCTTTCAGGGCAGAAGAAAGGAATTTAGGTGTATCAAAAAAGGTGAGGGTCATCTTATGAATCAGTACCTTGACATTAAGAGGGAAATTAAAAAGGGGATAAGAAAAGCTAAACAGGAATATGAAATTAAAGTTGCTAGGGATTCGAAAACTAACCCTAAAAGTTTTTTCTAGGTTTATAGAACAAAAGTTAGGGATAAGATAGGTCCCCTTAAAAATAACTTGGGGCATCTTACTGACAAAGAGAATGAAACGTGCTTGATCTTATATAATTATTTTCTCTCAGTTTTTACACTGGAAGACACTAACAATATCCCAGTAATTAATTTTTATAGTGGGCTTGAAGAAGATAAATTATGTAACATCACAGTCACTAGTGAAATGGTTATGAAACAAATAGACCAACTGAAACAAAATAAATCACAGGGTCTTGATGAGCTTTTTTCAAGGGTTCTTAAGGAATGCAAAATGGAACTCTGTGAACCATTAACGAATATTTTTAATCTATCTCTTCAAACAGGTGTAGTGTCTGTTATGTGGAAGATGGTTAATATAATTCCTGTTTTTAAAGCAGGGGACAAGTCGTTACCTTCAAATTACCGCCCAATAAGCCTTACCTCAATTGTAGGCAAATTACTAGAGTCAGTTATAGCTGAGATTATAAGAAGCCATCTGGATAAGCATAATCTGATTAATGATACTCAACATGAATTCACGAAAGACCATTCTTGTCTAACTAATTAATTCATTTTCTTCAGTAAAGCTGTTGAGGCTCTTGATCATGATAAAGAATTTGATATTGTTTATTTAGATTTTAGTAAGGCTTTTGATAAAGTACCGCACCAAAGACTGTTAAAGAAAGTGGCAGCTCATGGCATTGGGGGAAGAGTGTTAGAGAAAACTGTGAATCTGGTGCCTCGCCCAGTAACTGCCCTTCATGTGCGTTTGTTTACAGTTCTCAGCATTAATTCATTAGTTTTCCCTTTGTTTATGATAGCAACTAAAGGTAGTTGTTAGAAACGATGAAACTCAGTGAACATGGTAATAATATGGCTGTGTAGTGTAATAATATGGGTGTATAATGTAGCCCAGGGGAGCTACACTACACAAAGGGGAGAGGGAGTCGGGGATTCCCAACTCCCTCTCCCCTCCTGCCCTCTTCAATACGCCAACAAGAGCCTTCAATAAAGGTTTGTAATGTTTATTTATCATTAAAATTTGTGCTTTACATATATTTATTTCTCATTGTTTTCTGTATGTAAAACTATAGTTAATCTTTAAAAAATGTATTTTTTGTTAATATTTTTGGGCGTCTGAAATGGATTAATTGGATTTACATTAATTCTTATGGGAGATATCATTTCGGTTTACAGCCTTTTCAGATTTAGGCTGGCCTTCTGGAACGGATTACAGCCAATAACCGAGGGTCCACTGTAATATGTATAATAATAATATGTAGCATAATAATAATATGTATAATAATAATACATGTATAATAATAATGTACTATAATAATACAGTGGACCCCCGGTTAACGATATTTTTTCACTCCAGAAGTATGTTCAGGTGCCAGTACTGACCGAATTTGTTCCCATAAGAAATATTGTGAAGTAGATTAGTCCATTTCAGACCCCCAAACATACACGTACAAACGCACTTACATAAATACACTTACATAATTGGTCGCATTCGGAGGTAATCGTTATGCGGGGGTCCACTGTATTTATAATAATAGATGGCTTCGAAAGGCTGTCACTAGATGGCAGTGAATACCACAATAATGTGGGAGCAGTTATGGCTGCCTCCACCTGTCACATAATGACACATTTTATTCATTCTAGAGTATATATCAAGTTTCTATGTTATTTATATTGTTTATCATATCATATTAGATGAATTTTGATAGATAAATAAATTGTCCGCCATCGGCACCACTACATAGTCACATATGTAATGACATATTCATTCTAGAGTATATGTCAGGTTTCTATGTTATTTATATTGTTTATTATGTCAGATGAATTTTGATAGATAATTAAGCTGTAGAGTTGATATTAGCAAAATATTGAAGTATTTTGTCGTGCCTCCTGAGAACTGGAATGAATTAATTGCATTTCACTTAATTAAATGACTAAAATTGACTCGGCATACGAGCAAAGTCATGGAATGGATTAAACTCTTAAGTAGAGGTTCCACTCCATTTGCTGTTTAGAGGAACATCCAAACTATCGTACCAGCATGCCTTTGGCAAGATAGTGATAGTGTCTATTCAAATCTTTCTGGAGTGCTCTGTCCTCATTAGAATGAATTAGGCACCTTATTTTGTTGTCATCAGCAAACTTGCTTATGTCGCTTTTTATTCCCTCATCAGTGTAGTTTATATAAATTGTGAACAACAAAGGGACAGCACCGGTGAAAGTACTTCTTTTTCGGGTCACCCTGCCTTGGTGGGAGACGGCCAGTGTGTTAAAAAATAAATGGTTATGTTGTTTAATATGTTCACATCCCGAAGATTTTGTTGTGTTATAAAGTATTTGAAACTTTGAAGACATATTGAGGGGAAAATATAAGGGAAATATTGTATGGAATGCAACTAACTGAAATTACACATAGAATATTATAGCTTGAGCCTCAATTGTAACATGGTTGTCTGTGAAAAAAAAAAAGAGGCTTTGAGTACTACCATTTTACTTGCAGTGAATTTTCAGGAATGCATTAATATAATAAACTGGGCCCTACTGTATGTCAGTCTTCAATTTTTTATCTAGTCATCATAAATACTGGATTATATGTCATATGTATTTATGTATGTATGTGTTAGCATCTGTAAGCAGTACACAGCATTTCTAATGTGTAGGTTTCTTATCAGTATACTGTACATGCAGAAAGCATTTATGTAACAACCCTAATGAGATGATCACATTTTTCTTTCTTGACTCTTTGTGTTCGATCCCTTTCCCAAAACTGTATTAAAAAATCCTTTTTATGTTTTCTAAATATAGTTTTTAACTGCCTCAGGATAGCCAGAGACTCTTTGATTTATGGGTAGTGGTGCAGGTAAGTTCTTATTAAGAACTATGGGAGTTATCATGCTTTGAATGTGCCACAGACTGACACAATGCTCACTGGTGTACTCATAATTTAATTTTCAGACTTCAGTACCTGTTGTGAGCATTGATATTCCTTCAGGATGGCATGTAGAAAATGGTCCTCCAGAAGGCAGTGCTGTACTAACACCAGACATGCTCATCTCTCTTACTGCACCAAAACAGTGTGCAAAATACTTTAAAGGTTGGTTTCAACTACATTGTTTATTTAAATCTGTTTTACTTTCAAGTGCTTCATATGTAGTTGTAATAAGGTCAACTTGAAATAGTAAAACGTACACGTACACGTGTACGTGTGTGTGTGTGTGTGTGTGTGTGTGTGTACTAACCTAATTGTGGTTGCAGGGGTCGAGACTCAGCTCCTGGCCCCACCCCTTCACTGAGTGCTACTAGGTCCTCTCTCTCCCTGCTCCATGAGCTTTATCATACCTCATCTTAAAGCTATGTATGGTTCCTGCCTCCTCTACCTCACTTGCTAGGCTATTCCACTTCCTGACTACTTTGTGACTGAAGAAATACTTCCTAACATCCCTTTGACTCATCTGGGTCTTCAACTTCCAATTGTGACCCCTTGTTTCTGTGTCCCCTCTCTGGAACATCCTGTCTCTGTCCACCTTGTCTATTCCATGCAGTATTTTGTATGTTGTTATCATGTCTCCCCTAACCTTCCTGTCCTCCAGTGTTGTCAGGCCGATTTCCCTTACCCTTTCTTCGTAGGACATTCCCCTTACCTCTGGAACTAACCTTGTTGCAAACCTTTGCACTTTCTCTAATTTCTTGATGTGCCTGATCAAGTGTGGGTTCCAAGCAGGTGCTGCATACTCCAGTATGGGCCTGACGCACACGGTGTACACTGCCTTGAACGATTCCTTACTAAGGTATCGGAACTTGCAGGTGTGCTCACATGCATTTGTGGATGGGTTTGAGTAATATAAATGGAGACACTGGAGTAACACACAACTGCTCTGCCCAGGTTTGTTGTGTTTGTTGTTTGGTGTGTTGTGTGTCAGCACAATCTGTCTCACTGATGCCTACATTATAACTACCCATACCTACAGACCATTCCAGGGTATGAACTTCCCTAGGTCAGCATTGCTGATCTATAGGGACTTCAACTCACCCATCATGTTCCTGTGATGTTACATTTGGTAATGGGCCTCTACATTGACATACTGTTGACATGACAAACAGCCTGTAAGTTCAGTGACTTCTTCTATACTGTAAGATCAAGTCTAGCTAGCAAAACCCCAAGTACCAATACTCGAGTGAGTGATTACCTCGTTGAAAGTCTCCCAAACTCCTGTCTGACTCCATCTAATCCTACTGAGGTCTCTCTGATAATAAATTCACTGAAAAACAATGATCTTCCAAATGCATCTCAGCAACCTAGACCTGTTCTGTTTGCAGGCAACACAACTTTTGCTATCTATCATCCAAATGTGAATTTTCTCAACGACACTATTTGGTATATATTCACTCATTGTATACTACACAATAATTGCACAAACTTTGTTGTCATTATATTGTTTACAAAACATATTTACAAAAACCAACAATAAAAAATGTTTATTACTATTTTTCTATCATATATATACACACACAGAGTCAGTGGACAGGTTTCTAGAACTACAAGAGGTTCTGAAAGCTTGTAGTTGTGTAGGGATGGACTTGTAAATATGCTGAGTCACTGGCATGTCTTGTGTCACAAAGATGCATCATACCACCACGTACTAACCCTCACTGCCTTCCACAACACATCCCTTCCTCCCCACAAACCTACCTTTCTTCTTTCCTTCCTTCCTTCATACCTACCTTCCCTCCTTCCTTCCTCTCATCTCTTCCTTCCTACCTACCTTCCCTTCTTCCTACCTACCTTCCCTTCTTCCTACCTACCTTTCCTCCTTCCTTCCTTCCTATCATTTTTCCTTCCTACCTACCTTCCCTCCTGTCCTTCCTTCCTCCTCCTGTCCTTCCTTCCTTCCTTTTTTCCTTCTTCCTTCCTTCCTTTATTTCTTCCTTCAAGTAACTTTTAGGCCTTGAGCCATGAAAGGATTTATATGTATATTCACTGTATGAACAAATAACTGCACAAAAACATTGTCATTATATTGTTTAAAAAAACAGGTTGCACAAACAGCAAATAAAATTTTTTTTTTTATATTTTCTATCTATATTAAAAATTCAAATTTATTTTTTTCTTTGAAAAGAAGGGTCCTCCATCCCAAAAACCCGGGGCATCATTGGGCCCTTTTTGTGACCCGGATTCTGAGTTTGCCGTTACAGAGTGGTTGGGTTAGAATACACTAAATAAATTTAACCAATTGGCTTGACGTTCATTGAATTGGAAAAAAATCAACTTTCCGCTACTTTGAGCTCAATTTAAAGGTATTTTTGTTTTGAAAGCATTCAAAATCATGTCATTTCTGAAATATATTTTATTTATCAAATGAGTCCAAAAAAATGAGAATAAAACCCATAAAAACCTCGAAATTTTTGAAAAAGAGGGGCTAATGGCTGGAAGTTAACCCCTTTTATTTATGTCCTTTTTTTATTTTTTTGTATTAAGAAGCATTTTTTCCCTCATCATTTCCCAAATTTCAATGAGATAGCCCCCAAACAACTGAGAAAAAAAAATTTTACCAAAAAAAATTGGGAAGCCAGGGGGCCCGGTCTGGAAAAAAGTCACTTTGTCTGACTTTTTGGATCCCGGTTCTCTATACAACATGCTATGTATGATAATCTATGTAACTGTATTTGTATACGAATAAACTTATTTATTCTAGCTGACAATGAGTAAAAAAACGCCCCCTTCCTTTTTTCAACTGCCCAATAAAGTGGTCAGAAATTTTGGGAATTTGGCCCCTTTCACAAAATTTCACAGATGAATTTCAAAATAGGGGCCAAGAATAAAAATGCAGACTTTCCCGGCACTAAAAAAACATTTTCTCAGTTCATTAGTCACGGCTACATGTTATATTACTCTTTTTTTTGTTTTTTACAAAAAAGTCGAGCTTCTCCACGAGGCAGGTGACCAAAAAAGAAAGAAAATCCCCAAAAGACATTACTTTCATCATATTACAACACTTTCACCCACTCGCACGTTATCACTGTTTTGCTGAGGTGCTCAAAAATACAACATGTCTATGAAGCATAAACATATAAAGATCAACAAACGATATCCTCTCAAACTGTCACAATATACCAAACACCTCCTTTAAAGTGCGGCATGTGGTACTTCCCATTTCAGGACTCAAGTCGACTATATGAAAATAACCGGTTTCCCTAATCCCTTCACTAATATTACCCTGCTCACACTCAACAGATGTAGGTCCCAAGTACCATTCGTCTCCATTCACTCCTATCTAACAACGCTCACGCACGCTTGCTGGAAGTCCAAGCCCCTTACCCACAAAACCTCCTTTACCCCCTCTCTCCAACCTTTCGAGGACGACCCCTACCCCGCCTTCCTTCCCCCATAGATTTATATGCTTTTCCCTGTCATTCTACTGTGATCCATTCTCTCTAAATGACCAAAAACCCCCTCAACAACCCTCTTCTGCCCTCTGACTAATACTTTTATTAACTCCACACCTTCTCCTAATTTCCACACTCCGAATTTTCTGCATAATATTTACACCAACATTGCCCTTAAAACGGACATCTCCGCTGCCTCCAACCCTCTCCTCGCTGCTGCATTTACCACCCAAGCTTCACACCCATAAAAAGGTGTTGTACTACTATACTTTCATTACATTCCCTTCTTTGGCCTCCATAGATAACGTTTTTTGATCCACATATACCTCAAACGCACCACTCACCTTTTTTCCCTCATCAATTCTATGATTAACCTCATCCTTATTAAATCCCTCCGCCGACACGTCAACTCCCAAGTATCTGAAAAAAATTCACTTCTTCCATACTCCTCCTCCCCAATTTGATTATCCAATTTTTCTTTATCTTTAAAACATTTGACACCCTCTTTACCTTACCTTTTCTATGTTCACTTTCAACTTTCTACCTTTACACACATTCCCAAAACTCATCCACTAACCTTTGCAATTTTTCTTTAGAATCTCCATAAGCACAGTATCATCAGCAAAAAGTAACTGTGTCAATTCCCATTTTGAATTTGATTCCCATAATTTAATCCCAACCCTCTCCCAAACACCCTAGCATTTTACTTCCTTTCAACCCCATCTATAAATATATTAAACAACCATGGTGACATTACACATCCCTGTCTAAGACCTACTTTTACCGGGAAGTAGTCTCCCTCTCTTCTACACACCCTAACCTGAGCCTCACTATCCTCATAAAAACTCTTTACAGCATTTAATAACTTACCACCTATTCCATATACTTGCAACATCTGCCACATTGCTCCTCTATCCACTCTATCATATGCCTTTTCATATGCCCCTTATCATATGCCCCTCTTATATTACTCTTGCTTTTCATTTGGAATTTTTATTCACAAAAAAATAGAAGATTTACTGTTATGCAGACTGCTGCATTATTGTAATAATTGTATAAGTAATGTCAACCCATTCTTGACTCCATATTGGAATTTAAACTGGTAGGCGGACAGGTATTAGACGGTGACGTCATTTGTTTACTCTTGAGCTTCTCTAAAGAATAGAACATTTTCGCTACTGTGAACGCAATTTCAAGGTACTTTTCGTCATGAAAGCAATCAAAATCATATCTATTTCTGTAATATATCTTTCATTCTATCAAATGAGATCGAAAAAATGAGAATATACCATAACAACCATACAAACATATACTGCTAAGCGGCCGCTAATGGCTGAGAAGTGAACTCCGCTATTTATGGTTTGATTTCTTTCATTTTTGGTGTACGTGAAGAAGTATCTTTCCATCATACATTGCCCAAATTTGAATAAGATAACCCAACAAACAATTGAGAAAATAATATAATAATAATAATAATAATAATAATATCTTTATTTACTACACGTACATGTACAAGGTATACAGGCCTAGCTGACATCAGTGACATACTACTATATAGAAAGCCACTTGTTATACAGAGTATTTCAAGAAAATTAGGTCAGTGTCCCAGGATAACACCCACACTAGCCGACTAACACCCAGGTACCCATTTACTGATGGGTGAACATAGACAACAGGTGTAAAGAAACACACCTAATGTTTCTACCCTGGCTGGGAATCGAATATTTACCAAAATCATATATGGCTAACCCAAGCCAGGTACTAAAAATAAGCCACGTTGACTTTTTTTGGGTTATCCTAGGTTC